ACGGTTCGATTCCCGGTCAGGGCACATGCCTGGGTTGCAGGTTTGAACGCCTAGTGTGCAGGAGGCAGCAGATAACTGATTCTTTCTCATCATTGATGTTTGTCTCTCTCCCTCTCCCTTCCTCTCTGAAATCAATAAAAATATATTTAATACATAAATACTTGCTGAATAAAGTATTGAGGGGCTGTCTCCCTTTACCCCTCACTCCACAAAATATACCTCTTTCCATTTCTGTCTCTCCTCTCACTTGCTTTTTCCTTCCTCCACTCACTCACTCCCCCTTCCTAGCACAGCCAGCTCTTGGCACTGCCCTGGCCTGGTGCCTCAGTTGCTTGAAGCATAGTCTGTGCACTCAAAGGGTTTGGGGTTTGATTCCCAGTCAGGGCACATACCTAGGTTGCAGTTTGTATGGGAGGCAGGTGATTTCTCTCTATCTATCTATCTCTCTCTCTCTCCCTTCCTCTCTATAAAATCAATAAAAGCATATTCTTAGGTAGGAATTTTTTTTTAAGTTTACTAGTATCTGAACACAAAATAAAACAAACAACCCAATTCAAAAATGGGCAAATGACTTGAATATGCATTTCTGCAAAGAAGATACACAAATAGCCAATAAAAACATAAAAAGATGTTCAACATCACTAATCATTAGGAAAATGCAAAGCAAAACCACAGTAAGATACATAACATATCCATTAGGATGACTGCTACCAAAACAAACAAACAAACAAACAAACAAACAAACACAGCACAAAAAAATCCCAGAAAATAACTAGTGTTGGCAAGGATGTGGAAAAACTGGGACTTTTGTGCATTGCTGGTAGGAATGTAAAATGGTGTAGCTGCTGTGGGAAAGTGTGGCGATTCCTAAAAAATTAACATGGGATTACTGTGTGACCCAGAACTCCGCTTCTGGATATAGACCCAAAAGAAACAAAGCAGCGACTCCAACAGATTCGTGCACACCTCATCCTAGCAGCATGATTCAAATAGTCAAAGGTAGGAACAACCCGAGAGTCCAACAGATGAATTAACACAATGTGTAGATACATACAATGGAATACCATTTAGCCTTAAAAAGGGAATTCTAGTACATGCTACTACATGGATGAGCCTTGAAAACATCATAAGTGAAATAAGCCTGTCACAAAAGGCCAGCTATTGTGACTCACTTACATAAGGGACCTAGCGTAGGAAAATTCAGACAGACAGAAGCAGGATTGTGGGTGCCAACGGCAGGGAGTCGGGGAGTGGGGTGGTGGTTTAATGTGTACAGAGCTTCGTTTGGGGTGAAACAAGCTCCAGAGCTGGATGGTGGTGATGGAGGCACAACAATCTACTTAACGTCACTGAACTGAATACTTTTCGGGGCACTTTGAAAAGGTTAGAGTGGCACATTTCACCTTGAGTGTATTTTTCTTTTTTATTTATTTTATTTTTTTATATATTTTATTGATTTTTTTACAGAGAGGAAGGGAGAGGGAGAGTTAGAAACATCGATGAGAGAGAAACATCGATCAACTGCCTCCTGCACACCCCTACTGGGGATGTACCCACAACCAAGGTACATGCCCTTGACAGGAATCGAACCTGGGACCCTTCAGTCTTCAGGCTGATGCTCTATCCACTGAACCAAACCAGTTAGAGCTATTTTTCCTTTTTTAAAGTCCATCAGTGTTATGCCCTTACCTTATGCAGAGAGGCACTCAGAGGCTGGTGCCAGAGTGCCCAAGGCTGCGTCCATCAGAGCTGGCAGCCCTTGGCAGGACCGGTGACAGCTGACCTGCACATGGCCCTCTCCTCATTCTCCACCCCTCTGTTCAGTGTGCAGCGGGACCTCACCAAGGACACCTCCCCTACTGAGCACAGTGCGGGCGAGGGAGAGCAACCGGGGTGGATGACTTTTCTCTAAGGTTAGCATAAAGTTAAATGATAGGTTTGCCAATGCTTCCCCTTTCTCCCCCCACCTCACCTCTGCCTAAAACCAAACAAGGCAGGCTGCAAAACAGTATATAAGCACAGTAACATTTTTGTTCTTATCTATGCACAGAGAAATTTCTGGATGTGCACAGTGTTAACCCCAGCTATCTTTGTGGAGGGAAATACGTTTTATTTCATTTGTCTTTTCCAAGTTTTTTTACACTAATCACATATTACTTTTATAATGATGAAATGAAACACTATTATTTTAAATTACAAAGACCTGTGTGACTTGTAGGACAGGCAGGGGCTGCTGCCCAAAGTCCCTTCCTCTCCCCAGAGGTGTCGGTCATCAGGCCATCACGTTCCTGGGATGACGTATCAACTCTTGGGATTCAGCCTCGGTGGGGAGAGGGCAATGTGACAGACTTTTACAGAAATGGAAATTTTGTTTTCAAATACAGTCTCCTTTAAACAGATGTCAAATTAATAGGTGCCAGAGGATTCAAAGAGTAATTTGTAAGGATCTTTTATTGCTGAGCAAAGAAGGCTCAGAGTTTAAAAACAGTTGTCATAAGCTGGGAGCCCATTTCTCTCCTCTTCCCTCACTGTACTCCCCCTTCTGCAACTCAGCAATATCTCTGCACATCCCCCCCACCTTACACACACACACACACACACACACACACACACACACACACAGTACCTGCCAGCCAGCACGATCATGGAATAGTCATTAAGAGGTCCAAATCACCAAGGTTTTACTACACTACTAAAAATAGTCATGCTTACTTAGCCTTACTTAGTGCTTAATAAGCTCACCATTTCTAATTTTTCTGCCTGAATAAACGAAAACATCATTCCAGAAATGCACTTTTACTGAAACTGGAAGGCGTGTTCTCTTCTTCTTTGTTCATACACTTTTCTCCTCTTCCCCCTTCGTCCTCCACCCTCCATCCCGTGTCCCCATCAGCGGCCCACCCCTACCCTTCTGAAAATTTCAAAACACAAAGGGGAAAGTAACAGTAATTTGGACTTGGCTTCCATGCAAAATGGACCAATTTTTTTAAGTGTCGGTAATTTGTCCTGAAAATGGATATAGGGAGTTGGGCTGGGGAGGCTTTGAAGAGTGGGGTTTTATGAGTGGAAAATGAGGCCCGAGTGTGCGGGAATGTGCGCTGCACTCCCCTCCGTGCCTGGGACGGTGCGGCACGCGCGATAACCACAGCTAATGGCACCATTACTGCCATTATCACATTACATTATTATTGCTCATCGGAATCAGACAAAGCATATTAACCCATTTAATTGAACCAAGGGCTTAAGGTCCCAGCGACTTCAGGGAAAGTGCTTAGCAAACCCTCCCCGCCATCGCAGCCATAAAGCACCAGCCGCACTGCCGCCCGCCAGCTGTGCCCGCGCTGGGCACTGTCCAGGGCACCCTGGGTGACGCTTACTCCCACCGGACTGCAGCCTTCCAGGCACACACCTCCCTCCCTTTGTAAACCATTCTAACCAAGGAAGCATTTATACAAAAGAGACACACACACACACACACACACACACACACACACCAAGAACCCCCTGTTCTACCCCCAAGCTGGAACCCCTATCGAGTCACCAAGGCTGGTACTGAATACTGACACCCACAGTTGGTGGTGAACTCCTGGCTTCTCCTGAGCTTGGTACCCACTCCTCCGAACTCCTCAACTCTTCCACAGTGCAGGGCCCAGGTGGGGCCGCCCCCAGGTTCACAGAGTCCTGTGCAGCCTCTGGGTGGGGGAGGGGGGGAGGAGGGAGAGGAGCAGGCGGGCCCCTCTGATCTAGCCCCTGGGCTGGGCTCCTCCTGGGACACAGCCCGCCCTCCCAGAGCCCAAGTTTCCTCCGTCGAATGGGCACTGGGTCTACTTGCTGCCCCTCAGTTTGCCGTCAGGCTTCGAAGAGGCCCCAGGTGTGACCAGTATGTAGGTCCCCAGGTGGCTGTTGCTTCAGACATACACACCTGGCCTTGATCATCCACTGACCTTCTATCGCTGGAGAAGCTCTGAGTGAGGAAGCTCTTGGTGCCCGGCCCCTCCCTTCCACATCCTCCAGTGCCCAGCCAGCTGGCCCCACTGGGAAATACCTTGCTTCACTTCCTGGAGGACAACGGCACTTGGGGAAGCTGCTCTGCCCCAGATTCTCCCTGGGGTCAGGAGCTGCCAGTTGAGTGAGATGGCATCACCCTCTACCTTGAAGTACACTTCCTGGACCCGGAGCAGCAAGTAGGTCCTGCCTCGGGCTCAGCCCAGCCAATCTCTAGGCGAGTGACAGCCTGGGACAGGCGGACCAGAGGTTAAGAGAATGGACTGTGGAGTAAGAGTCTGGATTCAAATCACAGTCACTTACTGCCACAGAACCTCTCCGAGCCTCCATTTCCTCATCTGCAAAATGGAGAAATGTGGAAACATAAGTACAGTGTCTGACAATGTTGTCTGTAACCTAACAGGCTCCAAACAACTCCTGTGTCTGTCTGCCTACTTCCCCTCCCCCATCATGACTCTGGAGCTGGCGTGTCTCAGGGAGTCCATCACTGCCGTCCACGTGTTAGCCCTCCCCGACGGCGCTGGGAGAATATCGATGGGTGGAGGAACTGAGGTACGATTGAAAGTCAGTCTGAAGTCAAGGGTGAGCTATGGGAGAGGAGAAATCAAGGCTAACTGGAGCGATCTGGGAAGGCTTGCTATTAGAGCAGGCCTGGTGCAATGTTGATAGGATTAGAATGGGTGTGCAAGAGTGGAGGTGAGACTGAGACGGGGAAAGTAACAGTCATTTACTTGGGAGACATGGGGGAAGGAAGGCAAACTAGGGGAGCCATGAATGCCAGGTGAGGGGGATACGGCCACTCCCAGAGGCAGCAGGAATCAAATCTGGCCAGGTTGCTGCCCTGCTTCCAACTGCCGAGCTGAGCACTCAAGGTCCCCAGTTTCCCACCCCCCCTTCCCCTCGTTCCCATGTGCCTGAGGTTACTTCTGCCTGGAATGGCTTCCACCCACCACCACCACCACCACCACCACCACCACCACCGCCGCCGAGGAGGAGAACCAGGAGCCAACTTCCCTTCCAGCGCTCCAGTCCTGGCTCTCCCCTTCACCAGCAGCTGCATCACACCAAGCTGAAAGCACAATCAACTAGAACCTGGGAAAGGAGATGCCTGTGGCTGACCAAGCACAGATAAAGCTCTGGGCGGAGAGTGTGGGAAGGGCGGGCACTCATGTGTTACTAAACCTCTGTCACATCGCGCTCCTTTCTCCCCAGTCCCCACCCCTGCGCCTGGAATCAGCAACCATCACCGCTCCTTTCTGGGGAGCCTGTTAGGAACTCTTCTTCCTTGAGCCTGTGGGACAATGGAGCAGGCCCAGGCCATGTGGGTCTAGGGACAGACACCAAAACAGGTGGAGATACCCTGAGCGCGAAGCCTGGCCTGGTGAAGGGCAGTCTGTTTCAGGAGTCCCGTCTCACCCACACCTAAAGAACACAGAGGTGTACAGTTCCTAGCGTGGCAGGACTGGACTTCTGGGGGCCGCTGGAACCAACAGGAGAGCACATTCTCAGACACTGCCTGGATCTCCATAACAAGGCACTGCTTCCTGCTGGTGGAATCAACAGGGACTTTTTAGAAAATCTGGTCACTTTCCAAACACCTCCAGATCCTTCTCACCGGGGGAGGGCCTGGGTGAAGACTCAGGCCCAGGTCCCCCCTGTCTCCCACTGCAGCCCCCAAACTACCAGGCTGGCAGGAGGGAGGTGAGTGGGCCATTCGGGGACAGCTCTGTGGGATCCCAGGGCCGAGAGTGGGGAGGAAGGTCCTCCTTCCCACCACCAGGCCTGGACAAGCAGAGCCACTCTGCCCCAAGCAAATCAACTGAAAGCCTTGGCCAAGCCTGTTTGCCTTGGTGAGGGCCCAAGTGGGAATTCCAATCTGCCAGTGTTTGCTCTACAGAAAAATAGAGCCAAACAGAAATGCTGCTTTGGGACTCTGAGCCAAATATCCGCCGCCTGCCCTGCCAGCAGTGTTGGGCCAGCCCTCCGCATGTCACCGCTCACAGTTCTCTGCTCTGTGACAGCCTTCTGCCTTTGCCCTTAAAAACAGCTCACCCCACCCAGCGGCCTGTGCTCATGACTTCCCTGCTGGGCCTGGGCCCCAGACCTTCCCGCCAGGCCCGCCCTGCGTGCGCCCATTCTGCACCCAGTCACCCCCAGTGCCTGACCGCGGCTCCCCGCTCTCACTTATTCTCTTGCCACGGCAACTCAGCCCCTGACTGGCAGAGCCCACTCTGCATCTGGCCACCAAGCAGAGGCAGAGCTGACAGCCAGAAAGCACAAACCATAAGTTGACTGTGTCTTTTTTTACACTCTCATGTGTATTTTATTTGATCTTTATAGCTGGTCCGTTTATCAGCCCATTTCTCAGAGCAAACCTGCTGAGACATACTCCTGAGGTCACCAGATGAAGGAATCCAGGTGTCCTGACTCCAAAACCTCGGTGCTTTCTAACTTGCCTCCCCGAGGGAAGTCTTGAGATGCCTGGGGCATTGCCCACTGAGAGCAGGTGGAAGGAAGTGTTTTCATATCCCCCTGAACGAGGCTGGCACAGCCAGTGTGAGCACTTGGCGATGTCCGCTTTCCCCCCTTCCCCCTCATGGAGCCATTGCCCAAGGCCCACCGGCCCTGTGCCTGCCCACCAGAGCACCCCTGGAAGCCACCGGCCCCCCTGGTCAGGCATTGAACGCATAGGCCCTGAGCTCCCGCCTGCCCTCCAGGGGCACAGACACCCTGCGAACCTAGGCCCACCTCCCCAGGCCTTGGCACAAAGCTCTCTCCACCCCAGGGAGCAGCTAGGTTACAATCCCTGCCCCAGAAGGCTCCCCAGAGCATGGCCACAGGCTGCACTCTCCGGAGTTGTTCACACAAGTCTCAATTTGGTCCTGAGAATGTGAACATTTGCAAATGGAAATGACTTGAGTATCTTAGAAGATGCGAGCTCTCTGCAAGCATCACTTCCTCACGGAAACTTTCTTCCAGTCTGACTGGTCTTCTGTCTCCCCCACACAGCTGTAGGCACCAGGGGGCCAGGACTAGATTGTGGGCTTCTCTTCACAGAACCCCCAGCACCCAACACAGCTCAGTAAACAATGTATAAACGAAACCATGAATATAGGTTTCCACCTGCCTTTGTCATGTGACCTCAAGGGACTTTGTCATGGGCCTGGAGCCCATGGGACCCTTTTGTCCAATCACTCCCAACTCTACTGACGTGTTTTCTGCTGACCTGACTCCCCAGTGTGGGTGTGGTATCCTTCCGTACTCAGCTATGGGTGCTGGTCTCCCCCACCAGGTCTCCCCAGAACCCGCCCCTCCCTCTGTCTGAGACGTCACTGCCAAGGTGACAGGCCTCAAGAAGACTCCCCAGCCGTGGAACAGAGGGAAATAGCCAGACCTCTGGCTTGGCCCATTGGGAACAGGGGGTACCAGCCGCCCTGCCCTACCTGGGCTTTCAGATGGTCCCGTCATGACCAGAGCACTTGGGACCAGGCCCTGGACAACTCTGGCAGTCATGTGACTAGGAATGTTGCAGAAAATCACACCTTTTCCGTGGGGAGTCCTAACCAACCGTAAGAGGGGAAGCAGCCCAAAGTGCTTGTTGCCAGCCAGACCCACCCATCCTGAGCTCCATGGCTGCACAACAGAGTCCTGCCAGTCAAGGTTGCATGCCTGGCGCACCACGACCACGGTGAGCCTAGGAGAAAGCAGAGACGACTCCAAAGAGGGGTCCCCAGAGCACAGGGCCCCCAGAGAGATGCAGCTCTGCCAGGTGTGTGTGTGGGGAAGGGGTGTGGGGGGCCATAAGGTGAGCCCAGTGGAGGTTTCGCGGGAAGAGGTACATCAGCTCAAAGGGCCAGGCACTCGGGGCTGCTAGGCCTGGGCTCCTCAGGTGGCTTTCCCAGGAACAGTGTGTTCTTGCTGCTGAGGTCAAGGAGGGGAGATCCAGCGTGGCCCTGGAGTGGCCACAGGCCAGGATGAATCTCGAGCCTCCTTCTCTCACTCCCACGGCCTAGCTGTGTCATGAGGCGGATGGTGTCAGAGGATCAGGCTTTATGAGCACCTGACCCAACCCCCGAAGGTGGGGAAACGCCATGATCACAGCAACCGTGACGAGGCGGGTTCAGAAAGCCTGTGTTTAATGGGGGCTGCCACAGCCTGGGAGGCCCTCGGCGCCGGGGGCCCAGCCACACTACTTCTCCTCAATCCTTGCTGAAGATTGTCGACTGCTTCCTCTGGGGCAAGTCTTCGAGCATCAGGTTCAGCACGTGCACAATCTCGTAATACAGCTCTTGGAGCCTGCGAGTGGGCAGGAGAGGGCCTGAGCACAGGGGCGGCTCTGTGCCACCGGGCTCCCCCATCGCACGCCTGCACCTGGCACTCACCACCCCTAGCAGGTGTGGGGGCAGGAAAGAGCAAGGAATGTAGAGCCCGTCAGGTGCCAGAACCCAGGTCTGCCATTCCATTCCACCTGTGGCCTGGATGGAGTCATTTCACTGCCTGAGTCAGGGTGGGGACCACAAACGCCTAGACTCTGTGTGGTGACTGCAGAGAAGACCAGACCCTGCCTGCCTGGTCGGTGTTCCCTGATACCCTCCTTCCAGTTCCTCCTGTCCACAAAGCCCTCCAGGAGGCGGCTGTCAAGAAGCTTGAGCTAGCCAAAACCAGTTTGGCTCAGTGGATAGGAAAGGTCCCAGGTTCAATTCCAGTCAAGGGCATGTACATTGGTTGCGGGCATATCCCCAGTAGGGGTGTGCAAGAGCCAGCTAGTTGATGTTTCTCTCTCATGGATGTTTCTAGCTCTCTATCCCTCTCCCTTCCTCTCTGTAAAAAATCAATAAAATATATTTTTTTTAAAAAGAAGCCGAAACCAGTTTGGCTCAGTGGATAGAACAATAAAATATATTTTAAAAAAGGAGAACTAGAAGAAGAAGAAGCTAAGCTAGTAATCCTGTCCCTCCTTGTTCAAGAGCCCAAGGTGGCTCCTTAATGCCCATGCTCAGGTCCCCTTCCTGGCAGTATTGGCAGTGAAACCCCAGCTACCTTGCGCAGAGCACGGTGCTAGGCCAGGCCAAGCTCTCATTTCCATAGAATGAGCCCAGCAGTCCCCCCGCGAGGCAGGTGGGAAAAAGGCAGAGACTTGCCCAGAGTCACAGAGAAAGGCCCTAGCACATTGGTCACCAAACTGCGGCTCGCGAGCCGCATTTGCCGCTCTGTTGACTAATGAGTTTGCCGACCACTGGGATAGGGGCTTAATCACAAGGAACAACAACAGCCTGTAATTACTGGAATTGAGAGTCCAGGTCAGTGGTCGGCAAACTCATTAGTCAACAGAGCGGCAAACCGCAGCTCGAGAGCCGCATGTGGCTCTGGAACCACAGTTTGCCGACCACTGCCCGAGCAGAACCAGGCCAGGAGCCTCAGCTCTCTCCTCTGCCCCTGAGAAAGGGTTAGTGAGGAAGGGTCTGGAGAGACCAAGGAGCCAGCATTTAAATACAGGCCCGGGGGCAGAGTCTGACCCCTGTGCATACATGGAACCCTGTACCCCACGAAGGGCCTGGCTCCGCCCAGCCACTGCCTCCTTGCTTTCCTAGGGCACCTGCCATGGCCCTGCCCTAAGGAAGTGAGGCCAGGAAAGTCCTGGCACCCTAGGGCTAGGTCAGCGGTGCTGGGACTGACTTGTAAATCGTCGCGTCCTGGTTGTCCAGAGTGGCCAAGTAGATGTCGATGAAGGGCAGGCTGGTGGCAAAGTCATCCAAGACCATGGGGTCAGTGTGCTGCAGGGTTTTCTTGAAGTTCTCCACCAGCTCACTGAAACTTTTGCAGTCCACATTTGCCTGGAGAGGGAGGCACAGAGACATCAGTGACCAGGAGGAGGTGACTCTCAAGATGTACAGAAACCTGGGGACCCTCCCCAAGGGGCCCAGGCCAGGGCTGGCCCTGGCCCTGTCTGAACTCGGACTCTCTGCCCGAGGGAGCCTCCTGAGCTACCATCACTGAGAGCAGGTGACACAGAAAGGGACCGGCGAGAGCCAGAGTGGGGTTCAGCATGGCCTCACCTGCCCAGAACGAACCTTGCACACAGTCAAGAAAGGCAGATGTCTGCCTCAGGGCAGAGGCTGAGGAGGGAGGTGCTGGCCACATGGGGAGAGAGGGGCAGCTCAGGACCTGGCAGAGCACCAGGGCTCCACGCAGGGAGCTCAGAGCACTTGGGCTGGAAAGAGAAGACGCCCAGCCCTATCCAGCTGTCTCCTGCCGGACAGAACCTCCAGCCTGCTGTGCTCATTCTTGTTCGGTTTAGAAACCCAGGTTAGGAACCCCTGTCAGGGCCTCCGTGGACTCACCCACGCAGAGGACGGGGGCCGTGCCTGCCTGGCGCCCAGTGAGGCCTCGGTAACAAGAGCACTCCAGGCCCAGGAAGGAGGGAAATACTACTGTAACCACAGCACTCCGCATTCACAGGTCCAGAGAAATACAAACGCACAGGAAATAAAGCTTGGTTCTGGGAAATACAGAAGGTATTACCTGCCTCACCTAAGGCCGCAGATGCCTGAGGCCACCTCCCACTCCCGTTCTTTGGGCCATTGCTTCCGCCCAGACTGTCCATGCAGGTGCTGCCCACCTGCCCGTGGAGATCACCTACCTGTGTCTTCATCAGCCTGCTGACCTCCTCCTGCTGCCGCTTCACGATCACCTGCTTCTCTTTTATGAGTGTCATGTGCCTCTCCAGCATCAGCTCCCGCTCAAACTTTTTGATGGAGTTCTGGAGAGTGGGGTGGGGTGACGAGGGAAAGTGAGGGCTCCCACTGCATCCCCCTCCCCCGCCTTTCTTCTTCCCTAGCCTTACCCCTTAGCAGAAGGAACCCTCCATACAGGGCCAGCCCCAACTCAAGCTGCCAATGCAGCTGCAGTGACTTCCCACGCTCCTGCCCATCTGGGCCCCTCCCCTCCGCTTTAGGATGGAGAGAGCTCAGGTCCTCCCTGGAGACTTGGCCCACAGCCCCGCCTGTCACACCAAAGCCGACCCGTCCTTAAGCACACAGCCTCACCTCGGTGTGCATGATCATCACACCCACAAACATGCTGAGGAAGACGAAGGAGCCAAGCAAGATGAAGATGATGGTGAATGCTCGGCTCAGAATAAAATTCCTCTTGTCCAGCTGCTGCTGCAGGTCTTTCCAGCCATCAACCTGCTCGGGCAGGGGAAGGATGCCAAGTGTCAAGGCCCAGCGGTGTAAGCCTCCTGCTCACCTACCTTAGGGGAGCCCTCACCCCACTAGATGGAGGTTGTCACTTCCTCCATATCAGCCCCCGCACGCATCCCCAATCCACTGAGCCCAGTGCAGACGGGTGGTACAGGGCACCACTCACTGGGTGGGGGCACTTATGGCCAAGGTGCCCTGGGGGTCTGCTCCAAAAGGCTTCCCATCCTTCCCCAAAGACACGGCCTCTCTGCCACGGCCTTCTTCAGATAGACTCCAGTCTTTCCAGAGCCCAACAGAGTCCAGACTGCTAGACTTGGGTGGATTTGTGACAGTCCGTTTCAAAAAGGCTATGTGACTTGGGTGTCACTTCTAAATTAAACTTAATCCAAATGAATCATCTTTTGAGAACTCTGAAATTTTTACAACCCTGTGAGACATGCTCTAGGGAGTCACAAGATTAGGGACAGAGAGGGACCCCTGGCCGGGACACTAGTTCTGCCTCAGCTTCCCCAGCTCAGCGAAGTGTCCAAACATGGGGTAGGCCCCACGGGAAGCACACACTCACACTGGCTGACAGTCCCTTCTCAAGGCCCCTTCCCCCACCACAGTTCCCAGACACAGTACCGTCGCCAAGCTGAAGAGGGTAAAGAAGGCCGAAGCCAGGTTCCCCCAGTTTTCCAGGTCCCCCTCATCTGGATCTCCAAACAGGAAGAAGCCCAGGATGGCGAAGAGGTACATCAGGAGGAAGAACAGGATGAGCACAGAGGCCACAGTGTAGAATGTCTGCCCAATGGCGGTGATGAGCGTCTGCAAGGCAGAGGCACGGGACTAGGCAAGGCTGCAGGCGGGGTAAGGCTCAGGTGCAGTCTGCCCAGACCACAGCTGTCCCCAGCATCCAGTGCCCTGTCTGCATGTGGTAGATGCTCCACCAATGGCTGCATGGAAAGATGATGGAGGGGAAAGGGAGGAAGGGAGGGAGGGAGGGAGGGAGGGAGGGAGGGAGGGAGGGAGGGAGGGGAGCTCTGCCCAGATTGAGGGCTGGGCCAATGCCTGGCCTCTACTCTCTGTCATCTATGGACAGATCGTGTGCTGTCTCGGGTCTGGGTAGTCCCCCCATTAACCACTTGAACCCTGGCTTGGTTTCATGGTCATCCCAAGGTGTCCTGCTTCTCCCCAAGGGCCAGCCCTGAATGCTCTTTCAGGCCCAGGAAGAAGAGGGAGCCACTCAGGTAATGGGAACAAAGAGTGCTGAGAGGAAGGTGGCTTCCCATTCTTTCTGGGCCCCATTTCCCAGGCAAGTCTCTGTCCTGTGAACTTGGTCTCAGCTCCCACTACATTGCTCCCTGCTGGAGAGCATTGTGCATAGCTCCTCATCATTCATTCTCCTTGTATGTAGTAGGTACTCAATACATGTTCACCTACATAGACGCTGTCACAGACATCATTTCAAGATAGGTAGGTGTTATCATTCTTCCCACATCAAGATGAGGGGTCAGAGGCTCAGAGAAGAAAAGGGCTTGGCCAGGGTCACACTCCAATACAGTGGCAGAACATGGGCCCAGTTCTCAACACCTTTGCCTCATGCCACCACCTTCACTCCATGGCCTCCCCAGAGGAACCTCTCTTGCCTGAAGACATCACTCCTCAGCAGCCCTCTCCAGGGAGTCTGACTGTCCCCCACGGCCTGATGCAGGAGGCCACTTCGGCCCTATCCTCAGAGCCTCCTCCTCCGTGGACAAAGCCCCTGCTTCTGAGCAGGGCAAACCTTCCAGCTTCCCCCTCCACCCCGTCTCAAAATCTCTCCCTCAGGCTCCACCCCATTCTGCTGCCATCCTGGGGGCCTTCAGCATCTCTATGGATACCCACCCCCGCCCCCAGGTCTCCCCATTGCTTGACTTCCTCATCTCCAGCGACCCTTACACCACTTTAGACTCTCCTCCCTTGGTGCCCCCGGCCTGGCACTTACTTCCCAGTATTCTCTCCTGGCCACCCACCTTACTCTTCAACCTACACTTCGACTCCAATGCCCAGCACCTTAGATACTCCCATCCCTACTTTCAGGTCAATTACTGGGTCTGTCTCTAGCCTACAAGCAAGGGGAGCCAGGCTCAGGTTTCCAAAGGAAGGGCATCCTGACATGACGTGCACTTGAGTGATTCCCCAGCTGCTGGGACATTTCCGGTCCAAAACTCTCCAGAGTGCGGGAAGTCACTGCAGGAATTCAGGTAAAGGTGGATAGATGGTGATGGATTAAAAAAAAAAAAAATGGTGACTATAGTCAATAACTATATTAGGAGGCCATTCAACAGGACTTTGGGTGAGAGGAATCAAAGCTAACGTTCAACTTTATTACTTGGAAGTTGAATGGGGCTGGAGGGCTGCCCTTTCAGCAAAAGATAAAATAGAGGAGACGCCAAGGTTTGGGATCTGAGAGGGGTGATGGGGAGAGTGATAACTTCTAGTTTAGACACGTTGAGTTTGAGGAGCATGCAAGATGCCCAAGAGGCAGTTGGGTCTGAAGGTCAAAGAGAGAGATGTGGGCAGGTAAAGACTCCTGAAAAGTGGAAAAGATCACCCAAAAAGAACATGCAAAGAGGAGAACTCAGGACATAGTCCTTAGAAAACAACACTTAGGAGCCTGGTGAAGGAAATATGTACCCAAAAATATGCCCAAGCAGCAGGAGGAAAACCACGAAGAGGCAGGAAAAAGGATGCCAAGGGAAATGGCCAGTGGACTTGGCAACAAGGAGGTTGTTGGTAACCTCAAAGAGACTAGCTACTTGGCGTGGAGGGAAGAAGCCAGGGCATATATGCCAGATAAGGAAGTGGGGTCTGGGGTATAGACATCTCTCCCCAAAAGCTTCACCACAAGAAGGGCTGGACTCCACTGTTTGGGAGGGAACACATACACGTGTGTGACTCTGCGAGGGCAAGGAATGAATGACTGGGGCCCTGTGGTAGGGGGAGCCCCTTAACATTCTCCTTCTCTTCTCCCCCTAGGAGTGGGGTCCCTGAGTGTCAGGCCTAGGCCCTGGACAGACACACAGGCTAGGCTGGAAGTGATTTCTCAGCCAAACAGGCTAACACACCCTAACTGGTCAAGTAGGTCCAAATCAGAAGCGTGGACACTGGGTGCCGAGCCAGGGCAAACATCCTGCATCCAGGCGGAATACTAAGGGCACGCTTGGGTCAGCTCCGAGATTGGTTCTGAAACCTTCTGAGCCAAGGAAAGGCTGGTCAGTCTTCTCAGCAGGAGCAGCACTGCTGGAGCCACCTGAGCCACGTAATGAGACTGTTCCCATCAAAAGCAGCTGCGGAGTTGTAGCTGTTTGGGGAAAGTAGGTTGCCAGAAAGCTGGAGCCTCCGGGCATGTAGTTTAAAGAGTCTGTGCCATGAGATTGTCTGCCTTACACCACGGCGAGAGGGAAAGGCCAGGCGGCCTCTAGAGCGAGACCCACCTTTCCAGTCCCGGGCATCACCTGCTGAGGGACCTGGGGCCTCGATTTCTTTATCGATAAAATGGGGCTAATAATACCTTTCCCACAATTGTTTTAAGATTAACTGAGATCATCTCAGTAATGATCCACCTGCTGTGTAGTAGGACTCAATAACTGGATGATAGGAGCACAATTATTATCTCATCAGGGGCTGGCGGGCAGATAGGCCCTGTCACCTGCACTCCCGGAGCCACATACTCCCAGGTCACTCACCCGGATGCCCCGGCTGTAGGTGATAAGCTTGAGGATGCGCAAAGACTGTATGCCATCCCCAATCTTGAGGTGAGGGTAGTGCTTGCCCTTGACCTTGCGGAGAGTATAGGGGATTGAAATAACGACGATAATCATCACGTCTAGCAGGTTGTAGCCGTTCTTCCAGAAGCCAATGGGTTCGGCATAGAGCTTCATATAGAACTCGGCGCTATATATGGCCACAAATAAGATCTCCGAGACCTGCAGAAGTGGCAAGGTTTGGGGGGGGGGGGGGGGGTTGTCAGATCTCCTTGCTCGGACCACCCAACCAGGTGTGCTCTGGCTGGGGGTAGGGGCTCCTAAGTCACCTACATGAGAGAGAGAGATCCAGGCAGAGTCTCTGACACACAGTACACACACAATGTGCCTGATTCCCTTCTCCTTCTGTCTTCCCTGCCCCTCAGTCTGAAGCCTGGTGATAGGTTTGACCCAGGATACTTGGGAAGGACTGACGGACCAACAGGCTGAAGGACTAGGCAGGCCCCAGGATGAGGCCACGCAGCATGATAGCTCCCTGAGGGTAAGCTTTCCCAAAGGAGAGGGCTCGAGCTGTCTCCTGGCCAACCTGAATATCCAAACTTCTATACACAGATGAAATGCACATCTCCTCGCATTTATTCTATTTAATCACTACTTTCACACCAGTTAACTCATCTGTTTCTAAAGAATATGCTGCCTTCTTCCCATGTTTATACTTTATGAATTAATCTTACTCAAGTTCTTATGCATCCACAATTCCAGTGGCTTTGTATTTACTAAAAGGCACATTTTTATTTTTCTTTCTTTCTTTGTCTTTTGCGTATCTCGACTTTTATTTTTTTAAATAATTTATTGTTGAAAGTATTGCATATGTCCCCCTTTTACCTCCATTTACCCCCTTTAGCCTGCGCCTTCCCCCTCCCCTCAGCCCCTGGACCTCAGCACCCTATTGTCTGTATCCAAGGGCTATGCATCTATGTGCACAAGGTCTTTGGTTGATTACCTCCCATTCTCCCCCAAATTCCCTCTAAGAGTCCACACTCTGTTCCATGCTTCAAGTCTCTGGATCCATTCTGTTCATCAGTTAATTTTGTTCATTAGATTCCACATATGAGTGTGATCATGTGATACTTTTCTTTCTCTGACTGGCTTATTTTACTTAGCATGATACTCTCCAGGTCCCTCCATGCTATCGCAAAGGGTAAGAGAGTCTCTTTTTTACTGCTGCATAGTATTCCATTGTATAAATGTACCACAGCTTTTCTATCCACTCATCTACTGATGGGCACTTTGGGCTGTTTCCAGATGTTAGCAGTTGTAAAATGTGCTGCTATGAAAATAGGGAGTGCATACATTCTTTCTGATTGGTACTTTGGGTTTCTTAGGATATATTCCTAGAAGTGGGATCACTGGGTCAAATGGTAGATCCATATTTAATTTTTGATGAAACTCCATACTGTTTTCCATAATGACTGCACCAGTCTGCATTCCCACCAGCAGTGTATAATACTAGGGTTCCCTGTTCTCCACATCCTCACCAGCACTTGTCATTTTTTAGTTTGTTAATGGTAGCCATTCTGACAGATGTGAGATGGTACCTCGTTGTCATTTTTATTTGCATCTCCCAGGTGATTAGTGACTTTGAGAATGTTTGCCTACTGTATGTCCTCTTTTGAAAAGTATCTATTTAGGTCCTTTGCTCAATTTTTAGTTGGATTGTTTGTCTTCCTTTTGTTAAGTTGTATGAGTTCCTTATATATTTTGGATATTAATCCTTCATCAGATGTATCATTGCTGAATATGTTCTCAGTGGGCTATCTTTTCTTTTTGTTGATGGTTTCTTTTGCTGTGCTGTACTTACTAAAAAGCACATTTTTAAATTTTATTGATTTCAGAGAGAGAGAGAGGGGAAAAAAAGAGAAACATCAACGTGAGAGAGAAACATCGATTGGCTGTCTCCTGTATACTCCCCAACTGGGGATTGAACCCACAACTCAGGTATGTGCCCTGACCAGGAATCAAACCTTTAACCTTTTGGTGTATGAGACAACACTCCAACCAATCAAGCCACCTAGCCAGGGATCAAAAGGTATTTTTTGAAATCATCTGAGTTTTTCCCTATCATCAATGCATTCATTCATTCATTCATTCATTCATTGAAGAAGCTTTGATTGAGCATCTACCATGTGCCAAGCAAAAATCATTCAGGCACTAGAAAATACAACAATGAATAAGACAGAAAATGTCTAGCCCCCACGAAGCTTACAAGCTTTCTGGTACTGAAGACAGAAATAAATGCTTAAACAAATTCTATAGCAGATAGGAAAGAAAATGAAACAGCCAAAGGGGATAGAGGAACTGGTCCGGTGGGGGAGGGGCAGTTGTGGCAACTATTTTAGAAAAGGTGGTGAGTGGAGGCCTCACTAAAGCTCACCAAACGGTGAGGATGAGAGCCCTAAGGTGAGGTTGGGTTGTTACAGGAACGGCAAAGTGAGCATGGCTGGAATGGAAAGGGCGAGCAGGGCAGGAGACGCAGCCATGGAGGGAGGGCCTTGCAGGCTGGTGAGGAGGGCTCTGAGTTTTAGTCTCAGCCTTGGAGGATTTTGAGCAAGAGAGTGATATGGTCTGATTTGCATTTTTAAGAGATCTCAGTTGAAAAGAGACTGTGGGGGAGCTGGCAAGCATGGTGACTGGGAGGCAAGTTAGGGAAAAGGTGATGGATATTAGAATTATTTCTAGCCATCATATTAGGCAAGAGAGGAGGTTTGGTGGATTTGATGAGGGACAGTGTGGGGTGTGGAGAAGATGATGGATTCTATATATCTTCTGTAGGTGGTGATGAGGGGACTTGCTCATGGACTCAAGGGTGCACAGGGAAGAGAACATGCAAGGAAGACCAGTGTTTCAGGCAGAGATACTGGGGTGCCTTTAGCTGAGATGAGTTTGGATTGGATTGGGTTGAAGGGGGCTACAGAGAGTATCTGGGAGGAAATAGAAATATTTCTGAGATATACCACCTTTTACACATATGTCAGATGCTGTAACTCTAGTCACAACTACCTATTTGGATAACATTAAGGCAGCTGGTGTTTTTACTTGTCCTGCATCTTTATATTTGTGGTCTCCACACTGCGATCCTTTTACACAAAAAGGTATAAAGAATAATATGATGAACCATATACCACCACCCACCTTAAGAAACAAAGCCTTACCTTTCATAATCAGATCTCCTACCCTTCCCACAGAGGTAATCCTACTGAAAATCTGGAGTGTGTCATGTTTGTGCACTTTATACCTTCACCACATGTGTATTCCTAAAAATATATTACATCGTTTTGTATTTTATGCATTACATGATTAGCATATATACCAAAGTATTCTTCGGAAAGGTGTTCTTTCATTTAAAATTATGTTGATGAGATTCATCCACGTTGATATGTATAAACCTGGTTTATTGATTCACTATTTAAAAATTCCACTTATGAAAATACTACCATTTATTTATCCAAATCCTATTGAGTGATATTTAGTTTATAATTTTTTACTATTTTTTTTAAAATATATTTTATTGATTTTTTTTTTTTACAGAGAGGAAGGGAGAGAGATAGAGAGCTAGAAACGTCTAGAAACGTCGATAAGAGAGAAACATCGACCAGCCACCTCCTGCACACCCACTACTGGGGATGTGCCCGCAACCAACACACATGCCCTTGACCGGAATCGAACCTGGGACCTTTCAGTCCGCAGACCAATGCTCTACCGCTGAGCCAAACCGGTTTTGGCTAATTTTTCACTATTGCAAAGAGTACGATAGTACAAAACGTTTGAGCAATTCTTGTACATTTTATTGCACACATATATATGTAAAGTTTCTCCATTATATACCTAGAAGTGGAATTACTGGGTTATAGGATATGAGCATCTTCAACTTCACTAAATGTTGCCCAATTGGTTTCTAAAGCTATTGTATCAATTTAATATCAACAATGTTCCTATTATTTGATGTCTTTTTATTTGTTTTTTTTTGTTTTTTTTTTACTTGTGGACATTTTAATGAACTTCCCTCCATGTAGCTTCAAGCTGCCAGGACACAGGCCCCACCAACGCCCTTCATCTCCTCCTCGGCTCCTCTGCTGGAGACCTTGGCCTTCACAGTGACAGGCGGCTCTGGCAGCCTTCCCTTACCCAGAATGTAGTAATGGCCCGATCGCGCTACATCAGTGACAGGAGCAGCTCCAGTCTTGCTTTTGGCAGCATTTATTAGTGTCTGCTCACTGACCAGGGCCCACAGTTTATCAAGGTTGACTGACCATTGGGCAGAAGCTGTTTCCTCTTTAAGGGGTAATGCCTCATACCAACTTCCCAAAGTAACGTGGGTGATAATTGTCGAAGTTGATCCTGTGATGATGCAAGCCACTACATTTCCTCGCCGCCCTGGGTGCTTCCTGTGCTTGCCAACGCAGCCGTGGCTGTGTCTCACGTGGCCCAACGTCCTCGGGTCTTCCTCCGTCTGGATGACGTGTCAGTGTCCAAGCTGCAAGAGCTTAGTCTTTACTAACACTTCCTACTGAGGAACTTCTTAATTTGTGTCAGTCTGATGAATATGAAATGGCATCTTATTTTTGTCTGTTTTTGTTAATCATCACTGGAAGATATTTTTTCTATTCATTTTTAGAGGAAGGGAGGGAGGGAGGAAAGGGAGGAAGGGAAGGGGTGGGGGAGGGAAAAGAAAGGGAGGGGAGGGGAGGGAAGGAAGGGAGGGGGGGAGGGAAGGGAGAGAAGGGAGGGAGGTAAGAGAAGGGAAGGGAGGGAGGAGAGCAGGGGGGGTGGAGGAAGGAGGGAGAGGAGGGAGGGAGGAAAGGGAATAAAGCGAAGGGAGGGATGCTCTATCCACTGAGCCAAACCCTGGGTTGGCAATGATTCTCTCTTATCATTGATGTTTCTCTCTCTCATTCCCTCTCCCTTCTTCTTTCTGAAATCAATAAAAACATTTTTTTTTTTTAAAGAACACCTTTTGTCTTCAAGTTGTGTGTGTGTGTGTGTGTGTGTGTGTGTTTTATATGTTGTTCTGGGTATTTTAAAGTTGCACTTTTCAAGTTAGGTCTTTAATCCAGCCTTGTGTGCTGTGAGGTAGGGATTCAATTGTATTTTTCCTCCATATGCACAATCATCCTAATGCCACCTAATGAAGTCTGTCCTTGCACTGCTCATCTGCAGTGCCCTCTGAGGGTACCTAGCCTCCATAAAGGCCAGGGTCTATCTGTCTATCCCCACATCTTTACCCCGCCTTAATTAATTACTAAAGCTTTATCTTAAAAAATCTAATCTACCAAGCCTCCCTTTTACCTTTCAAAATCACCTTGGTTTTCCTTTGTCTTTCATTCTTTTATCTAAATTCTACCATCAACTTTTGACATCCCATAAAAAATCTTATTTTATAGATTAATTGGGGGAAATTACATCTTTAAGAAACTGAGCCTTATTCATGATCTGACATATCTTTCCATTTCTTTATGTCTTCTTTAATAACCTTTATATATTTTTATTTTTTTCTCCTTAAAAATCACACTAATCTTTTATTAGATTTGCCTCTAACTACTTTTTATATTTTGTTACTAGGAGTGCTATTTCTTTTACTGATATATTAAATACTGTATTTTTCGGCATATAAGACAACCCCCTAATTTTACAGTTAAAACATAGGTTTAGGCCTATATTCGCTGTATATGACTACCCCCACTTCCGAGGCAACCCAGTTCTTTTTTTAACAGACCGCCTCTCTGACTCTGGCCAATCTGAACCATGCCCATTTTCTGAATTGGGTTGTTTAGATTGTTGAATTGTGGAAGTTCGTTATATATTGTGGATGTTAATCCCGTATGAGATATATGATTTGCAAGTATTTTCTCCCATTTTGTGGATTATCTTTTCACTCTTGATAGTGTCCTTAGATTCACAAACGTTTTTAGTTTTGATGAAGTATAAATTATCTTTTTTTGTTGTTACCTATGCTCTTGGTGTTTAAGAATCCATTGCCAAATTCAAGGTCATGAAGATTTACCTCTATTTTAAAGAGTTCTAGCTTTTGCTGAAATATAAATGCATAAAACTATTGTTTTATGCATTTATATTTTAAACCACGTAGAAAAGAAGTCACAAACCCAAAATACAATAATACTGGCTTTTAAATTTACCTATATAATTACTCTTAGTATTCTTTATTTCTTCATATGGTTTAAGTTACTGTCTAGTTACATTTCAACCTAGAGAGCTATCTTTACCATTTCTTGCACAACAGGTCTACTAGCAGCAAACTCCTTCAGCTTTTATTTATCTAGGAATGTCGTGATTTTTTTCCCCCTCCATTTTTTTAAAGGACAGTTGTGAGGGATATAAAATTCTTAATTGACAATATTTTTCCTTCAGTATTTTAAATATGTCATTTCATTGCCTTCTGACCTCCAGAGTTTCTGAGAATTCAGTTACTAATCTCATTGAGGATTCCCTGTATGTCACAAGTTGCTTCCTCTGTCACCAAGGCTAATACTATATAATTGTGGCTCTTTGTAAGAATACCTTGTTAACTAGTTTTGATGCAAATGCTGTCCATGGGTTTTTGCTTTTGCTATTTGGTTGCTTTATCTTTTTTAAGAGGGGATTCAGAGAAATTAAAAAACCATGGCACCACTGTCACCTTCTTCCTAGATTTTAGAGCCCTTAAAATTTTTCTACAGAAAATTTTCTTGAACAAAAGACCTTAAAAACTGTATAACATTTTCAAAATTAAAACAGGTGAAATAGAAAAGAAAAAAAGGATCATTTGGTCTGCTTACCTCAAAAAGTCTGAATAAGTTGTATCTTATGTTATACTCAGTCCACAAGACCACCAAAAAGGAATTAATTGAGACGGTGCTAATCATAATTATCTTAAACAGTTGACTCCTTAAGACTTTCTTCACAAATGCCTGACATTGAACATCTCTCCTCCTGTGAAAAAGTTGAATAAGAGGTATGATTACCTCACAACACAGCAAGATCCCCAAAGAATAAATAGCTTTTTGTAAGAACTAGAGTCTGCTTTCCCCCTTCTGTGAATATAAGTTTATATATACTTCAAAACTGAAATGAAATACTGAATGAATGACCCCTGAAATATGTATTATATGATGATCACTATCCTCACTCAGTTTCCTAGTTCTTTCTCTCTGGACCTCTGAAACAGAATGGTAACCACTCCTTCTCAAATAAACAAAGCATCATCTTTATTTACTCATCCGACAAGTTTTTATTGAGTCCTACTACATGCCAGACATTACAATGGGCACTGGAGGTATAAAATGAGCAAAACTATATACTGTCTTGTAAGGAAAACAGGTAATAATCAAATAATCACCCAGACAGGTGCTTAAAAATCAATGATGAAAGTACAAATGCCAATTATCTTTCCCCAAAATGTTCAGCAGCACTACTAATCAGGGAGATGGAAATTAAGTAAAACTATTATTTTTGTTTATAAAATTAGCGAAGTCTTAAACATGTCAATATTTAATGCTGGAAAGATTATAGTGTATTGGAGCATTCTCATAAACTGCCAGGGGGACTGTAAATTCACACTTCTCTGAAAAGCCTTAGAACTGTTCCTATCCTCTGACCCAAGGAATCTACCCCAAAAGAATACAATCTAAAATGCAAACAGTGATATGGGCCAAGTGTGTTTATGCCAGCATTATTTACAGTAGTGAGAACTTGGAAATGATTTAAAAGTCTAACAAAAAGAACTCGTTAAGTAAATTATAGCATATTAATCTCAGGAAATATTATACAGATACTAAAATATGTCTACCCATTTTCCATGATTTAGAAAAAATGTTTATGATCCACTGGATAGCAAAACACAAAAACAGCCCTTGCTGGGTAGCTCAATTGGTTTGAGTGTTGTCCCAATACACCAAGGTTGTAGGTTTGATCCCCGGTTGGGGCACATACAAGAACCAACCAATGGCAGAAACCGGTTTGGCTCAGTGGTAGAGTGTCGGTCTGCGGACTGAAAGGTCCCGGGTTCGATTCCGGTCAAGGGCATGTATGTTGGTTGCAGGCACATCCCCGGTGGGGGGGTGTGCAGGAGGCGGCTGGTCAATGTTTCTCTCTCATCAACATTTCTGGCTCTCTATCTCTCTCCCTTCCTCTCTGTAAAAAATCAATAAAATATATTAAAAAAAAGAAAAAAAAAAAGAATCAACCAATGGCCAAAACTGGTTTGGCTCAGGGGATAGAGCATCGGCCTGCAGACTGAAGGATCCTGGGTTTGATTCCGGTCAAGGCCATGTACCTTGGTTGTGGGCATATCCCCAGTACAGGGTGTGCAGGAGGCAGCTGATCGATGTTTCTCTCATCAATATTTTTAACTCTCTATCCCTCTCCCTTCCTCTCTGTAAAAAAATCAAGAAAATATATTTTTTAAAAGAATCAACTAATGAATGCATAAATAAGTAGGACAAATAAGTCAATTCCATATATATCTCTCTGTCTCTCCCTCTCTCTCATCAATAAAAAATTTTAACATGAAAACAAAACAAAATATAAAATTCTCTACTCAAAATTATCACAACTGTACAAAAATGGGTAAAAGAAAACTTGATAGGAAATATGCCAAAATGTTGATAGTGGTGAGGTTGTAGGTGATTCTTTTTCCTGTTTGTTTATATTTACCTGTGCTTTGAAATTTTTCTCCAGAATAACTTTTTTTTTTCATTATATATAACAAATGAACACATTCTCACAACAGTTTTTAAAAAATGCAGAATGCATATACTTTTATATTGTATAAAAACAAGACATTCAATTTATCTGATTTGAGATAGGGCCAATCTCCCCCCCCCCCCCAAAAAAAAAAAAAAAGCATTAAAATTATCTAACACAGTAGCTAACAACAACAAAAAAAGACAAAATAAAGTCAAACTACTCATTCCGTCTACAGGCCAAATAAGAGCGTGACTGAATATTTGACTTAACCAGCCAGTCTTCATACTACAGCCAAAGAAGTAAAATGTTTGGCTGAGCCTTCATAAAACCTCACCAGTCAGAGAAACCAACTTATCGAGGACGTGTGAGAAGTGGACGAGTGCCTGGGGGAAAAGGCTGAGAACACTGGCACCCTGTACCACTGCTATTACACATTTCTTAATAAGCAATAGAAAAAGAGGATATTTACTTAATTGTCTTGAGTCTTGCATGGAACATTGATACTTTACCCAACAGGGTACTGAAAATGCCCCTTGTGCGGACACGATGAACTAAATGTCCAGACATTTTCCAAATGTTCAAATTTTCTTCCTCGCTTTTGTCATCTAACAGAAAATCTCTGCTTAGGGATTTCCTTAGCACCTAGATTGCAGAGACCTCAGAGAAGGATCCACGAGGAGAATCCTTGCTTTATGAGGTCATTCCTGGGCATTCCAGCACATGACTAGTCTGCAGGCCTCTGGAGGTGCAAGCTCCCCAGCCCATCTATCCACAGATCCTCTCTTCCCAAGGACACTGAGCATCTCAGCTCAGCAAGAACAGTTGTGAGCACACTGCAATTGTGAAGTTCCGGGCTAACACTGGGAACAGGAAACAGGCCAGATGAAAACCTCTTCTTCACCAGTACTCTGATCTGACGGACGAAGGCTGTTACAATAAGGAGGGGTGATGGAAGAGGGGAAAGCAAGGGGTTCTAAGAGCAAGGGCACAGCACTGGAAACACCTGAACGGGCAAGGAAAGGTTTTGATAGGTTTGGAGCGAGAACCTACGAAACAGAGATTTAATTGGAGCATGGACTGTCCACATATGAACCACCTAGAGTGTAAGGGATGAGCCTATGGGGAGATGTTTTAGGTACAAGAGAAACAGATTTTTTTTTTGCTCTGTTTCATTCTTGGGATTAATATATTTCCCTTGCTTGCCTTCTCATATCCTCTTTGGTTTTTAAGGCAAATCAAGGCAAAGGGATCTAAGTAGCCCAGTTGTACTAAATCTTCAGTGGCTAAATTCCGGTCAAGGGCATGTACCGTGGTTGCGGGCACATCCCCAGTAGGAGGTATGCAGGAGGCAGCTGATTGATCTCTCTCTTCCGTCGATGTTTCTAACTCTCTATCCCTCCCCTTTCTTCTCTGTAAAAAATCAATAAAATATATTTTTTTTAAAAGAAAAGAGAAAAGAAAAAAGAAAAAGATAACCTCTGCTTAGGGATTTCCTCGGCACCCACAGCTAAACATGGTTCTGAAGTCACTGATGAAGACATCTCATCTGGGAATGGACCTCCAGCGGGTGAATGGGGTCAGAGGTAACAAGCTTATCAGGGTTTACTGAAACCACCCAGGCCTTCTCATGGACACACGGGCATCCTGGGATGAGAAGCCGAAAGGGGGCTCTTTTGTCCGTCAGCAGCAACTCACACTCTGCCCGACTTGGGCAGCAACCCCCCAGCCGCACACAGCAGGGAAAGTCAGCAGTTAACAGGCATGGCAGCTTTGGTGACTCAAGTCTCCTGGCCCAGGGTCATTCCTTTACTAGTCCCAGTAATTGCCATTGAAACACAAATCTCACATATTAAAAGTCAAGACCTATTTCAGCTCTTGCTGCTCTACAAGAAATTTTACAAACTGGAAGTTACAGAGTTCAACCAGCATATTTTTTAATGCTAAATTAGACAGTATAAAGACTATTTCATACCAACACTAGCAGCCCCAATCCTATATAATAAAATCCTAATATACAAATCAAACTAAAGACATAACAACCGGTCACAATGATGCACCCTGACCACAAGGGGGGCAAACATTCAATGCAGGAGCTGCCCCCTGGTGGCAGTGCGCTCCCACAGGGGGAGCACCACTCAGCCAGAATCTGGGCTCACAGCTGGCGAGTGCAGCAGAGGTGGCAGGAGGCTCTCCAGCCTCTACAGCAGCACTAAGGAGCAGTGAGCTGAGCAGTAAGGTGCAGAAAGCAGGCAACTGGTAAGGAGTAAGGGTCCCGGACTGCGAGAGAGCAGAGGCTGAGCTGAAGGACCCCCACTCCCAGTGCATGAATTTCATGCACCGGGCCTCTAGTACTTTAATAAAAGTTCAGGTTTGTTTTAAAAAAAATATACATGCTGCTGCTTTTTGTCTAGAACAAAACATAAAAACCATGCCCAGTCTATGCATCCAAATATTTCCTAAATCTTTTTAACACCAGAAAGTAACCATGAGGAAAAGAACTTTTATTTCAGGCTGGCCCTGCTTTGTCATCTATGGAAGTCATTGAAGGGGTCATAGGTCATGTCTATATATTTAACTCCTCTCTACTCTAGTGATCATTTAGAAAGAAAATGGCAGAAAACCAACACTTACCACATCAGAGACACCAGTGCCATCAACAAAGATTTGTAACAGAAGCAAATTTTGGGGCCTCCAACCTTGCCAATGTCTCTTTCAAGTTGAAATGTCAGTTACTTGAAGCAACTCTGGGGATTCATTCTGTTAGAATTTACCACAATGAGTATTTCCATAGATTTAATGTGGGACCTTTGATTCTTTCTAGTAAAGTTTGTGAGTTCAAGCAGATATGTCACCCCTAACATGAACCTTATGTCAACCCTCCATATAGGTACTAATTAGTAGCTGCATTCTCAGGTCTTCACCATTGCAATTGTGAGCCATATCCTGCTTTCTCTAGTGTGCTATATAGGTATATAGGTATATGTTAACAGCCAATGCGTTTAGCCTCTCAGACTTACTTTTAAAATAGGAAAAGGTTTCCATTCAGGGTACAGTAAAACAAGTTCAATTATGTTACAAGTTCTGTAGACTGCATTGTGTGCCCACCACCCAAAGACTTGACCCAAAGTCAAATCTTCTCCCATCATCATATATTAGGCAATAATATTCACTCTTAAAATATTTTTTCATGTTCAAAAACTCATGTAAAAAAAACTGAAGTACTGAACTAAAATATTTGGTAATAAAACATATAAGAGTTCCTCAAAATCTATAAATAAGAGTTCATAAAAACACACAGCTTTGCCTTTTCCTCTAAAAGAATTTTAAGAATCATAAGTTCTAGCACCCAGGCTCTGGATCTCCCGGCAGCACAGAGCCTGGGTGGCCTTCTTTTTCTCCCCTCCTTGCACTCTCCATACCCACAGGGCAAACCTTACCGCCTCTCCCGGGCCAACAGCACCAGCCAGGAATTAGCTTCAGAGAGCTCAGCCTCTTTGTCATGTGCCTATAGTTTCTCAAACTGGAGGCTGGGGAAGGATTGCTTGTTGAAATGCAGAGTGAATTTTCTGGCCTCTAAAGTGAGCTGGGTTTCAAAGATGATCCCTATTAAATCCTCCCACAATAATGCTTCCAGAGATTAACACGTGTTCTTGGATGAATATATATGTATACATTCTTGGATGAATATATATGTAACCTACATTCTGAGCTCATTAATAAGCATATTTCTGAGTTCCTACAAATAATGCTGTTATTGTAATTTTTAAATAGATTATTTATATTCCATTTACTCCTGTCATTAACACAGGGAGTAAATACAGCTCGTTACTAGATAATACCCAAGTAGTTTCTGACTCAACGGCTATAGACCTTCAGTTCAGAGGTCAGAGTTCTGGAAGCTATGGACAAAACACTTGTCCTCTTCCTTCAACTGCCTGCCTGAAAAGTAAGAATAAAACAAAGACAGCTCATCCAATTTTTGTGACTTTGTAATCTAATAACAGCAGCTAAAGAATCAATTTTAACTTCATGAGGATTGTTGTAGATGGTTACAATCCTTTACCTACAGAGTTTATCATTCTTTTTGTACCTTACAACTACTCTCTAACACAATGCATTTGTAAAGTCAACATAATCACTTGAATTTCTGGGTTATAAAATGTGTGAATGCTCCTCCATCCCAATTTCTGGTCTTTAAAAATGCTACTTCTCATTTTCAATACTGTATTATTAATACAATTATCTCGGTTGGTTTGCCTTATTATATATGTGATTTAGATATAATGAAAAATACCTAAGGATCAAATTTAAATAATTTTGTATTTAAGCACTGATTTTACAAAATGTGGTATATAGGCAAAATAAATTTTCAGTGTAATTTGTTCATGTAAATCACCCTCAAAGTACATTACACCTAAGAAGTGTATAAGATTTTACAAGCATTTTGAAAGGAATCACGAAGCAGCAGCTGCTTTTTCAATGAACTTGGCCAGTTTCACGTCTCTTTTGGTCAGCTGACCACAGTCATGCGAGGTGAGAGTTATCTGGACCTAAGAAAGAAAGAAGCAGTTTTTAAAACCATGACCTGTGATTCGTGGTATTCTTCTTTTATGGTTCAGAAATCAATGTATTATGCAATGTTCATATTTAAGAACTGGTCAGAGTAAATCATTTAGAAAACATGGATAAACAGGACATTTCCAAAGCCCAGTAAACTCCAGGGGCACAGTCAGCTTCAGGCTGGCCCCAGCAGCTGCCCAAGAATGAAAAGGTTCTCTCATATGAAGGGCAATTCAGTTGCCAGAATCTCAAATTTTGACTCTAGGAAAAAAAAAAAAGACTGAGATTTTATTTGAACTCCCATTACTTTAACTATACTCACTATTTTCAGGACATTGAGAAAAACCAAGGTATCAAAGGTAATATCTTTGCAACATTAAAAAAGCCCATTTCCAAATTAGGAAAGTGAGGTGGGGATGGGATGAAAGAACAGACTCTCGCTTCTTTGTAAATCAATTAAAAGGCAAAAGCAAAGTTATGGGCAAGGAGAGACAACAGTGAAAGAAAAGTTTATCCTGGTTCCTGCATGCTCTGGATTACTCCAATAAATCACAAAAATATGAAATTTTCTCTTTATTCAGAGAGAAAAAAGAACCCTAGATAAAACTAGATAAATTCTAAATGGTATGACCATAGGCAAGGACACTTTTTGAGGGATATTCTTCTCACTATGCCCCTTTAAAATTAATTGATGAAATCTTTTCAGTCCGCTGTTTGTCTTAAGAAGGTCAGTTCCCACTGCAGAAACAGCATTTAATAAAGTTATTATTTAAAGCACAGTTCTTGAACAAATTTACCTCGAGATATTTACTTCCAATCTTTTTGATAATTTACCTTAAGGGGGTTTAACATTTTATCTGCATGGCTGATATTCAAGTTTAATTCAGGCGCCTAATACGGCCCAACTTTCATATTAGTTTCAATAGAAGACAAACATGAAAATAAAGGGCTTAGTCACAGTTCTCTTGAGCAGATCTGAAAATCTGTTACTAAATTGCAATAATACACAGGGGTTCTGAGAAAAAAAATAATACTTTCCTAAACACAATGACACTTAGCTGTACAGGATGTCAAGGAAAAAAGAGGTTTCCTAAACTCCATAATTACGGTGATCCCAAAATAAGGCAATTTCATTACCTTGTTGTAGGCATTGAACCATTCCGGGTGATGATTCATCTTCTCTGCTTGTAGAGCAACTCGGGACATAAAGCCAAAGGCCTGCGTAAGATGAAGTCGAAAGTGATTACTGCACTGCCCTCTGCCCTGGACCTGAGAGAGACCCCAGAGCAATCCAACCAGATAAAGACGCGGCTAGGGTCCTTTGGGGAGCCTGGAGGAGCCAAATACGAAAGCGGCTGCTCTCCGCAGAGCTGGGTAACGGTGTGGCAGGACCATGGCCTGCTGCTGCTCAATGGTGAAAACAATCAGGCTCAAATAAACAAAGCAGGAAATTGGTCTCACCCATTGACCTGTCTGGACTGTTTAATTGTCCTCAGGACTAGACTCTTCAAAATAGCTGGGGCATAGTTTCCCTTTAACCAGTGCCCTGGACCCCAACCCCAGGAGCAACTCTGGCAGCACTGCTCTTTGTTTTCAGTGACTGGGTTGCTAACCAGGTATCAACCATAGAACTATGGCAGAATGTCTTCTGAGAGTGTTTTAACCAAAGCACTGACAGAAATGAACTTCCCCATTCCGTTTCTCAGGCACGTCAGGAGGGGATGAAAGACTCTTTGTTGATATCCAGAATGAAACAGAAGTCTGGCTTGCCTGCTGGGGGTCTTTTTGCCGCTGCCCAGCACTGGCAATTCAAGCAGAAAGTGCCCCACCTTTTGGCGGAGGGCTGCAGGCCCAGCCACAGGTGGAAGTGTGGACCTGGAGGGCTCTGTCTCATAACCACAGGGAAAGTGCAAACTTAATTTTAAAAAGCAGAAGGCAGCGCGGGCCAGCATGGCTCAGTGGTTGAGCATCAACCTCTGAACCAGAAGGTTCAATTCCCAGTCATAGCACAGAGAGAGTTTCTCTCTCTGTCTTCCCTGCTCTCTAAAATCAACAATAATAATAAAATAATAAATAAATAACATTTTTTTTAAAAGCAGAATGCAAACTTGTCCTGAGAGGGGGAAAACTTTTTATGAGGGTAATTGCAAACAATAGGAGAGTCTGTCTCTATTGTGCCCAGAAGGCAGAAATACTTGGGAAGGCTGTAAGGTAAGGTCACATTCATCACAAAGGTACAGTGGCATTCACAGAGCAGTCCCCATTACAGCCACAGAAATAAATGTTTAACTTCATTACCCCATCCACAAAAACCAATCTGATGTTAGCTGCACTGTTTTTGGACCACCAAAAGGTAAAAGAGCACATTTCCAAGTTAAAAGTGAGAAATATGGAAGATGCCATTTTAAATAATTTCATTCACAATAGCCCCTATCTCAGAAGTCACTTTATTAGGGATAAATTTCCATTTTGACATTTAAGGTCTAAATGAAGGAAATTCAAGCAAAATCCATTTAACCAAGTATGGAATTATCGGTGGGAAAGCACTATTTCCTCTCTACCCCTTCTCATTGCAACAGTTCCCCCCACCCCATCCATAGTTTCGCTTTCCATGGTTTCAATTACAGCGGTCAACCACGGTCTGAAAATATTAAATGGAAAATTACAGAAATAAACAATTCATAAGTTTTAAATTGTGCACTGTTCTCAGTAGTGTGATGAAATAACACTACTTGAACCGTCCCCTTCATCCTGCCCGGGACATGAATCATCCCTTTGTCCAGCATATCCACACTGTATGCCCTACCCGCCCATTAGTCACTTAGTAGCTGTCTCAGTTATCAGATTAGTCATCAAAGAAAAAGAGACCACAGTCACATAACTTTTATTGTAATATACTAGAGACCTGGAGCACGAAATTCATGCCTGGGTAGTGTCCCTAGGCCTGGCTGACGATCAGGGCCAATCTGATCACTGGCACCCACCTTGGCTGGCCTGGTGCCTGTGGGCTGGGGAAAGCTACTGCATTGAGCATCTGCCCCCTGTTGGTCAGTGCACATCATAGCAACTGGTTGTTCTACCAGTCATTCTGCTTTCAGTCCATTTGCATATTAGGCTTTTATTATATAGGATGTTGTAACTGTTCTATTTTATTATTATTTATTGTTGTTAATCTCTTACTGTGACTAATTTTTTAAAATATATTCTATTGATTTTTTACAGAGAGGAAGGGAGCGAGGGATAGAGAGTTAGAAACATCGATGAGAGAAGAATCATCGATCAGCTTCCTCTTGCACACCCTCTACGGGAGATGTGCCCACAACCAAGATACATGCCCTTGACCGGAACTGAACCTGGGACCTTTCAGTCCGCAGACCAACACTCTATCCACTGAGCAAAACCGGTTTCGGCACTGTGCCTAATTTATAAATTAAACTTTATCAGTGCTGAGTATGTATAGGAAAACATAGTACATATAGGGTACTATCTATAGATTTAGGCATCCATAGGGGTCCTGGGATGTATTGTCCACAGATAAAGAAGAATACTATAATCTGATTTTCTAGACTATGTGAGGGGAAGGGACAAGTCAAATGTGAAAGTCAGTTTTAATTACCCAAAAAAGAGTTAACTTGTATTAAATGATGAGAATTTTTACTGTTTGTCTATAATTCCTTATTTTTGTTTAGCTTTAGCTTACAAGATTAACCACGTCTGAGAGACAGTAATATAGTCGTTAAGGATTTGTGCTTTTGAGCTAGTGAGTTTTGGATTCAAATCCCAACTCTACTAAACTGCCATCAATTTAACTCCAAGCCTTTGTTTTCTCATCAGTAAAATGGGGATAATAAAAAGCTCATGTAATCATTCTAATAAAAAATGAGATAGGGGATATCAATGCACCTGGCACAGCACTAGGCACAGAGTAAGAGGTCAATAATGGCACATACTGCTGCCACTGCTGCTTCCGGCTGAACTTGACAAAATGGAATGATGGATGACAAGCCTTCCCAAGCCCTGAGAATCTAAGATTTCAGTTGCTGTCTCCCAGAAGAACAGCCCTTTCCCTTGTCCATGTGCCAGGACTAGAGATTGATACACATTTCCCTGACAATAGAGAATAGGGTAACACTATAATGAACATTTACTGGGGAAAACAGTTTAATGACAATCAGTGAGATGAACAGTCAGTCACTGCCCAACTTCTTAAACCTTTGTAGCCACCGTTTCTTTGAACCACGTTATCCTAAAAGGTCCAAAGTGATACTTAGAATCCCTTACTATTTCCCAAGAGCCAAATGGATCAAATGGATGATTTTAACATGGTCAGAAATGCTCCTCAAATCTTGGATTACAAGTAAGCGTACTAGCAAAACCTATTTCATCACAGATATGACTTAAAACAGAACACCGATATACAATGTAAAAAGGGAGACCTATCCAAAAAACCCTCTAACTTTGTATTTTCCTAAGTTTTATATAATTCCCTCTACCATCACCTAATATTTGCATTTAATAAAATATTTTAAAAAACATTTATACAAGATTTACTCCTAATAAGCCATTTACACAAGATTTACTCCTAATTCCTGCTTAGGAAAAGAACACACAAACTACTCTTGGAACAACGAGGCTATTCCATAGTGCTTCTTCCATATAACAAAACCAAATAATCCCCAAAATAGTTATTTTAAATCCACAAATTAAAAACATCCTGAACAATGCACATTTAAATTAAAGTAAAAGAATTTCTGTTAAAAAAAAAATGAGTGGATAGGAGAAAAGCAAAACCTCAAAGGGGAATTCTGATGATCTGAAACATAATAAAGAAAGAATATGACTCCAAAGCAAGCTTAGCAGATGGTGAATAGCATCTGTGCCTTCTTTCTAAGATTTTTTACACTCCTAGCTACTTATTACCAGGATGTCAGTTGGAATCTAAAGGCCCTGAACTAGCTACAAGTACTGGCTCTCTAAAACCATTCCATAAAGTTCTAATCACTATGTTATACACCTGAAACTAATATAATACTGTATATCAACTGTAATCAAAAAATGAAAAATTATTTTTTAAAAAGGAAGCTGAAAACAGCCCAAGGCAGAACAGAAATCACTAGCTATCCGGTAAGAACTTACAGATCAGGACTGAGAAAATAGACAAAATAAAGTACAAATCAATAATGGTTTATAAGAATTCAAAAATCGTGAAAACATGATTTAATATATAGACAATTATTATCAACAAGAGAACCAAAATTCCAAGAAAAATTAGAAATATAAGACAAGAAAATTTTCCATAAATAAAAGATTTAAATCTATAGATGGTAAGAATTCAACCATGTATATATAACTATTAAAGAAGAAAAAAAAATCCTTTGAAGAAAAAAAAGATCAATTAACCTCTAAGGATAAGAAGAATCTGATGGGGGAGGGGGCAGAGGGTGGGGTGGGAACCTGGTGGAAGGGGGAAGAAATGAGGAACCTTTGTAATAATATGAACAATAAAGATTGATTTAAAAAAAAAAAAAAGAATCTGACAGACTTCAACCTTCCACACAGCAACTTCAAAATAGAAGTCAGGTGAGCAATGCTTATCAAAATTGTAGGAAATGAAAATGCAAAAAAAATTATACCTAGCTAAATTGAAATGTTCAAAATTAAAGCAAGACATAAAATTTTTAATACAGTAATTCAGGGAATAATTCCCATTCATCCTTCTTGAGGAAACTTTTTTTTTTTTAAGGGTGAAATATAAGTAACCAAGAGATGAAGAAACCATACCAAAGGCATTGGCAGTGGGCAATAAATTCACTCAACTCTAGAAATACATTTAAAACAATTGTGGGGGTTATAGTCACAGAATGAAATGCAAGTGTTATAAACTACTAAAAGTGTTAAAGAAAAAAAGGGGAAGAAACAGGGAAGGTATATGGAAGTTTTAAAAAATCTTGAAAGTTGAGATCAAATGTTATAGATGAATGTATATTTAAAGGTATAAAATATAAGTATTAAAAATGATATGAACTAAAATTGTCTGGTGAAGGAAAACAAGAAGTATAATTCTGATATTGCTTATTGGGAGACCACTATATAAAGAAATGTTATCTAAATACCATCTGAAGAAATAGAGGATTAGCCCTAACCGGTTTGGCTCAGTGGCTAGAGCATCAGCCTGCGGACTGAAGGGAACTAGGTTTAATTCCAGTCAAGGGCATGTA